GTTGCCCAGAGAGGCAGTGGAGGCCCCATCCCTGGAAACATTCCAGGCCAGGCTGGACGGGGCTCTGAGCAACCTGACCGAGTTAGCGGAGTCCCTGCTCACTGCAGGGGGGTTGGACTAGATGGCCTCTAGGGGTCCCTTCCAACCCAAAACATTCTATGATTCTATGAAAAACCTATCTTGAATCCCATGATCAACCTGCTGTGCAGAGCGAGCACTGAGGTGACTTGGCATGCACCCCTAATGCCAGTCTTTTGGTTACATGCCATTTAAATGCATTTCTTTCTGAGACAGAGCCTGTGACATGCAGCTATCAAATGCCCTGTCAAAAATTTTGTCACCTGCATTAGCCAAAATGTTGGCCTGCAGCAGCTTACTAAACTGCTGAAAAACAAGGAAAATTAGGAAAAAAGTGTTTCTGCATTAAAAAAAAACAACAAAAAAAAGAAATCTGAACAATCGGTATGGTAGCATACAGTGATTCTTTCTACATTTCCCTCCGCCATAAACCTTTACCTTGGGTACTCCTTCCATCAGCCTCCTCTGCAAGAATTATTGTTCTGAATTCTGTATATACGTTCCTGAAACCTCACTGCATTGAGGATTTCTTTGTACCTTATGGATGTAACAGCGGAATCAAAAAGTATCTGTTTTGAAATGTGTTTGGCAATTTTTTTTCATAGTCATTTCAGGACAAACAAACACAGAATAAATCCTTCTCTCACACTGATGCACCATGATAACAGCGTATTTCCTATAAGATTATAAAGAACAATAACAGGAAAAGCTTGATAAACCCAAAACATGAAGTCTATGTTTCTGTGGATGGATGGATGGATGGATGCGTGAGTGTATGCATACACCTGTTAACATTAGATTTCCAAAAGGAATTTAAACCACAGCAACTGGAAAAACATCTTCTAGACAATAAATTAAAATAGTGGGAATGTGTTTTCCCCCAGGAAGAGAAATTCTAATGAAATTAAAATTTAGATTTCTTCCTAAAAATATTACAGCTCTTTGAGATAATATGTGGCAAACCCAAGTAAAATAGAGTTAATAAGAGAATTAAAAACACCATGCAGAATTCATTCCCCTCTTAGCAAATTCTGAAAATGCTTTTCTTTGCAAAAAAGCTGACAAAGACAAGCCTGTCCTCTCCTCCATTTACCAGCTTGCCAAACGGCACATCTGACTGCCATAAAAACGCAAAAAGGAAGGGGGGTTGGAATTTAATTCAAGAGCAGTACAAAGTCCAGCTACCACTTTCCTGCTGTTTCACAGCATTTCATTATTTTGCTTAATAAGTTCATCTCCTCAAGAATTTTCTCTTCACTTTATATTATTAAAAGTAATAAGTTTTTCTGGACTGGGGGTTTTCCCAACAGAAAAACCAATTTATGTATGTCCTTCAATAATGACAGGAAAAGATTATTTCCCATTATATTGCACACTTTTCATATCACCACCACAGCTTATCATTCAATAAATGTTACTCTGCAACTTGTTCCTTTCCTCGAAGAAGTTTAATTTCTGTATTAACCTGTTTTTCCCAGCCAACGCCTTGCTAGAAAGCATCCCTACAGCAGCAAAATTAGTTTGTTAAAGAAACCATTTAGAAATCTCTTGTCACTGATAATATTGTCTTCATTTAATAAAAGCACATAAAGTCAGTTTACATCTAATTCACTGACACACACATGCACACAGACATAAGCACTCATTCTTAATAACACATTTCACGCCGTGAATGCATATTTTTAAAGCAAAAGGTGAATTCAACATTTATATCTAATTATAGGTACAAAGCTGTGTTAATGCAGCAGATCCTGACCTCTGGCACGCAGCTCATGTAAGCAGCACTGGTGCTGAGCTGAGTCACCCGACCCCAGGGATCTGCCTCAGGCTGGCAGCAGCGATGATGCTCCCACAGATGCAAGGCTATCAGCAAGACTATGGGAGCTGCTCGAGTTGTTGCGTGGCAGAGGGAGATGCAGTCTGGGGAAGGGAAGAGTGAGGACAGCTCAAGGATCCATGCTGGCCTCATCAAATGACTACAGAGAGCAGATGGAGACATGTCTAACCTGCTGCCATGTGCTTCTCAAGCTCCATCAGCTCCTGAAGCCATCTCAGCCCCTATCCCACTGCTCATCCCATGCCCTAACCTTGAAAGGCCACCTGCAGAAGGGACAGAAGGGTGAGCTGGAGAGGACGGAAGGGTGACCCAGAAATGGTGACAGGGTCTTAGCTAGAGATATGGTTTCCTTCCCTGAGGCTGCAGGTGAGGACAAAGCCCACTGCTGAACACCAGCACCAGATCTAACTGGCAGCCCCCATTTGCTGGTGCAGGACCAGGAGGTGAGAGGTGGCTCAAGCCTTCCTGGATAACCTCCTCCTTTCTCACTGTTTCAGCGCAAGGATGTACGCACCGGTAGTTCACCACTGGCTCTGCCATACACTCCCCCCTGCTCCTTGCCTCCATTGACCTCACTTGACAGTGACCTGATGGATAAGTGTTGTATACCAGGACGTAATGTTCCTCCAGCCCGTCTCTCCCTCCCTCCCAGACAACAGGATCCAACCGGGTATGGCTTCTTGACCCCTTGGAAAGCCCCTGTGACAAGGGAGGAAAGAGCAGAATGTATCCCTTGGGTTGCCAGAACAAAGCCAGAAAATATAGCTGTGTACACTGGGACTATGCCAACCACTGTCAGCTTGAGATTTGCCCCATTATTAATGGAGATGACCATTTAAATGCCTTAAGTGGTGAAACAAAACTCAAACCCAAATGCAGCAGGGAATGCATCAAGATTGCATGAGCTTTTGGGGAATGAAGTGACAATTATTCAAGGGAGGAAAACAAAAGTGCTGCCTTTTTTTTAAAAACGGTATACAAATATTAGCAAATCAAATGAGGAATACAAGAGGGAAGTCCCATTACCTATTGCTCATATAGTGAGGGAAGCTAATGTATGCTGATTTATGTGTTCTGCATTTTGTAACTATTACAGTCTTATTTCCTTCTGAGTGAGCCTGTTTGCTTAAATTTTATAAAGGTAGCGAGAATTACCTTGTTGCCAGTTTGCCAGTAGAATTCTCTAATGGCTCGCATCATGACTACTCCAACTGGAAAGGTCGCATTTTCCACCTCCTTTCCTGTAGATGTCTTTATAAAATCAGAACCTGAAAGGAAGTAAAAAGCTTTATGGTAGTTTTAGAACAAGGGCCACTCTGCACATACATAGTTCACACCCTCCAAAGACGTCCTCATGCTTCACAGCAATCGCGAAGCATTCCTTCATGGGTACGTCCCTGTGGTGTCGGTGCTGACCTCGCTCTGGTTGAGGCTAGAGCAGGAGGATGATACCCATCTGGTTTCAGAGCAAGTCAGACATCCCAGCAGCTAAATGAACATGCCAGCTCTTAATTCTTTGCTCTAGGTGTCAAACCAACAACCTCTTCATGACAGTCCAATATAATATATGTTCTTGTATAGACACTCAATGTATGTATATATATAAACCAGTAGAAACGTGTCTGACTAACCACAACAATAGAAATTATTTCCTCTGAGCAAATTTTGCATATAAATCAACATTTTAGTATTTCCACAAGGATCTTTCTGAATAGAAACAATTTTCATCATTTTTTTTAATTTAACTTTGCATCTATTTAGTCTCACATTTGACAACTCCCACAGCTGTTTAAAACGAAAGGAAAGAAACCCCACGTGTATTTACGAAACCAGCTGTGTAATACTGTAGGCAGGGGAAAAACTCCCTTCTTATGTATTTTGCAACTGTAACACTGCAAATTACTATACTTAAAGCCATGGTCTGATATAATGCAGCAAGGTCAGAACGCCTGATATAAGCCATGGTCTGATATAATGCAACAAGGTCAGAACGCCTGTGTTATTTAAAGAAGGAGAGTTAGCCTGGGCTTATTTTTTTCTGGTTTCTCACTTGTGAACAATATTCTCCAGTACCTGTCCTGAATACTTGTGTAGTGTTCTTGTGCATTTTTGCCGTTCTGGGTTGGCTTAAAATGAATCCTGCAGTACAATATAACAACAAAAGGTAACAAACTAACTAAAAAATTTGCCTTGCAGTGTACAATCCTGCACTGACACAATAGAATGACAAAACTTCTTTAATTGCATTAGAGCACACTTTATCCCTGGGAACCTACTTCTCAGAAAAGGTGTACTGTGGGATCATTAATTATCAAAAGTAATCGGGAGAAGAAGAAGGATAATTCAAACATCGTGTAGTAGTGCATCATCCACTTAAGTCAATTGGAACTGCATCTGCTTCCACTTCAAATTTGGCTTAGGGTCCATTTTGTCTCTTATTTGAATGATGATGCCTCTACAACATCCCCTAGAGTAAGCAGGGAAAGTTTCACTACTGGCTCAAACTAAAGAGTTGGCCAGACTGCACGCTGGTGGTGCACTGCGGCACACTCCAGAGACCCCTCTTCCTGATGACACAGCTGACCGGCACACGGCTCGCTCTCAGCCTGGTGGGAAGTCAAGGCAAAGCCAGGCATGCTTCTGCATCCTGTGATTCAAATACAGTCGAACGGTGTCACCAACGCTGCGTCTCGTAAGGCCACGGTTTTCTCTGTAGGCTTCCTTCCCAGGTGCTAACTCGGCCCGTTGGTGATTAACTTGCACCCTCCTATGGCAATTCCCATTCGGAAGAGAAACAGTTATTTGCGAAAAAAGTTCTAGCTCCAGAGAAAGTGCACTGTGCAAAAGAGGCAATTAATAGTTGATTGAGCTTTGCAAAGAACGGAGCGCATAGGAGACAATTGAGTTACATATTTCAGAGCTACTCCCTTCCAGAGAGACGCTATGGACATCTGATAGTCACATTAAAACAAGTAAGAGAGGAAGTGAAACTTCAACATCGCCAAATTATATTTTTAATTTCCCTTTCGAAACGTAGCACTTAAAGTCCTCCAGTGCGATACTTTTCATTATTTCTAGTATAAGGTAAGTCAAAGCTTTTATAAGTCTTATAATTACAAGTCTCTATGGTACAGTTTCATTAAAAACTTTCATTAAACAACAGCTGCCCTTGTATATGGTCTTCTAATCAATTTGGTCAAACAGAATGACTTCTAATCAGCTGTTGATAAAAATAGAAGATGAAATTTTAATTCTAATAGATTAACCACAAACTCAAGATAGTCTTCAAAATCCATCTAGCTCTATTCTCCAGTGGATTTAACGACTATTCAGCAACTCATTACTAAATAGAACAAGATGAACATTTTCCAGTTCATTAAAGAAATGTACTATGTATTTTTGCATTGTCCTCATGATTCGTTACAGGGAGTCTTAATTACAAGATAATGGATAATGGTTATTAAATGCAGACTCCAGTAATGAAGCTCTATTCATTTGCGAGCCTCAGAGACTGCAAAGAGGGGAAAATAAAATTACTAGCTTCAAAAGATTAACGGATCAAATTATTATTCAATTTTGAAAATCTCATTCAGACTTCATAGAAACAAGAAGAGATTAAAAACTAGTATTAGTACAAAAGTAGTGCATTTATATATTTATTTTTAAATAATATCTTAAGGCTATTACCAGTATAATCAGCTTTAGATGTGATTATTAGACAAACATACAGCCAATTTAGTAGCATCCTCTAACAACGAAAACAATACATTTTTATTTCCTGAACAAATTCTATTTATGACACAAGAGCTTGCTAGCAGGATTGCATGCAGACAGAAGATGCAGGCTAGAAGAAAGCACCACAATGGAAGGTGCTATTAACGTTGAGATTTCAGGAATGAAAAGGGGGATTTAAAGATCAACCACTGCCGTAAGAAGCACCTCATTAAGTAGACTTTATGCCAACCTTGTAATAATAAGGGAGTTTCACCAAGTCTATTTCTTATTCAAGTTTTCAAAAACAAGTCTAAGGAATGAAGTTCATTTTTTTCATCTGGAAATTTAGGCGATGATTTAGAAACTGAGTTTTATCACCCATCTCCTCTTCCTATGAATGTATAAACTCAGAAAAATCAAGGCTAATATTAAAATACATGCTGGATGACTTTCCCGTTCCTTAGAGTAGGTTACGTGATTCAACGAAACGTTAAATCAAAGACTTAAAAAAAAAAAAAAAAAAAGAGATGTTTTCAGGGTAGATTTCTATGCCCAGTGAGCCTGGAAAAGGCCACACTTTCTACTCTTTTCCAATGTGCAAACACAACAGTACATTGCCTTTCAAGGCAGTGAGTCATGTAAGACTCTGAGTCAGTAAAGAGTGGAGACATCAAAGCCTTTTTGAAAAACAGCAGCATTACTCACCTGCTTCAGGTGGGCTTGCTGGCAACCTAGTCACCCACCTGGCAGGCGATACGTTATAGCACCACAGCCTGGCAAGCACAAACTTCATGGGCTTACTTTAACCAGAGGTAGAAACCTAAACAAACCTTAAGAAATGTGAACATTGCTGCAGACTTGGTTTGAGAGGCTCTCTCTGGTCGAGAGCAAACGAGTTCTCAGCACCCCTGGGAGCCAGACCATTTGGGCTGCAGTCACACCGCTTGTGAAATCAGGTATTTTAAGATATTAAACCCCCTCTTCCTTGCACTCTCACCTCCCATACACACACGACCCTCAACCACTGCACTGCACCAAAGACCACTCAAAATAAGCCAGCTGAACGTGCACACACTAAAAAGGAAATTAGTGTCTTCACAGCCTGTTGCCTGAGTCCGTACCCAGAGATCAAGATGAAGTTCATTACAATATTTCTATTCTAGATACTCACCACAGCCTTATTTATGGTAGCACCTGAGCAGAGGCGTAGAGCTGAGGTGTACAGAAGCTGCATGACTTGCCCAAGGCCTCTCAGCAAGCAGTTGGCAAGGCAGGGATTGAATGCCTGGGTCTCCCAAAGGCCAGAAGAGCTGCCACGACTGGCCTGCCTTACTGCTATCCCCTACATCATCTCGAAATGCTGCAGAGCTTCCCAGTCCACCTAACACTGAAGCAGAGCATGAGAACTGGAGAATCTCATTGAGATGACAGCATCCAGGAAACATGCTTTGGTTCCATAATTAAGCAATAAGGAATAATAAACAGTATAGCAATTGTGGAGTAATCCCAACCTTTTGGTTATGAAGTGCTTCAAATGCCCTTGCTTGGGGAATGATTATCTCCTGATAACTACAGACTTGGTGTTGTTCCCTTACTCTCAATAAAGAACAAAGAAGGGTATGGCAGTTTTAAGCAATAGTTTTGAGAGAGATGCTTGCAGAGGGACAATTATGCCAATGCTACTTCATAAGTACTTGCAATGAGCACAAATATATCTTGGTTGCTGCAACTCAGACATAACAAAACGCAGTGACATATGGTGAACACATATCCATCCACAACTTCCAGGACTGGTGGCAAAAAGAGGCATGCTGCTGAGGGGACCTGCAAAAGCCCCTGCTTTTTGGGCTGACACAGTAGCAATGACAAAAGAGTATATTACCAAATGTGGATAAAGTCCCGTTAGCAAGTCATCTCTCTATTTTATGAGCACCTAAAATAAGGGTCTTAAGATTCACACACAATTAGCCTGACTGGGGGTGATCAGGTTATCAACCCTCTGAAAATAACAGGCAGGGCAAGATATAAAAGGCTAATGCAGTAGCTAATTCTTGTCAGTTGAGTCATCGTAATTGTCCACTTACATGTCCTTATCCTACTCCAGTGGCAAGATAAAATACATTCCCTGCTAGCTTAACTTTGCTGTTAAGGAGGGGAAGAGAATACGAAGCTGTGACAACTCACTTTAGCAGTAGCTCACCAAGTAGCTTTAACTCCATCACACATGACTACACCACCAGACCGCTTGGTTGGGTGCCTATGCATGTTTTCGCACGCCTGTGTCTAAGCTACCATTTTTAAAAATGCTAGCTTGTAACTTGGTCTTTTGTGAGCTGCCTATTTTTTGCAATTCTTTTTGGAAAAGTGCCTGCATGGAGGGGGAAAAAAAAAAAAAAATCACATCATAGGGCTCCACGTTTAATATCTGTTTACAAAGAAGACAACCTTTCTAATGACCCATCCTATCATCTCAACTTGGTTTTCAAGACTCAGAATGGATGCTTCCTCTCTTGTACACCACCTCCAGTAACAGGCGTTCTGCAGGCCAAATGGT